TCCTCGAGGAATTTTAGTAATCGAGGTACTCGAATCATTCGAGGAATCGTTTCAGCCCTAATCCGAACCTGTGCACACATATTCAGTGTTCTCACCGGTTTGGTTTTATCTCCAAAGAAGTGGATGGTGGAGTAGTTGTCCTTGTCCACGATGTCCAGGCAGTAGCGCTTGTCCCAGCCGTCAGGGAAAACGTCGAAGCTGATCTGCCCTCCTACAGAGGAACAACTGGATCGTCAGCCGATCCGGACCGGATCGGGTCACCGTCCCGGATCGGTGGGCAGCGGACTCACCAATGGAAAACGACAGCCCTTTCCCTCTGAACTCCTCCTTCAGCACAGAAACAAACTTCTCCCGGATCTTCTCTCTCTGCAGGAAAAACACGAGCTGGTTTACGCTGCCGCACCAGCGGGAACAGCAGCATGACGCAGCTGAATTCTGGGAAACGCATGCGGTTCTGACCTGGTCCAGCTCGTAGAACTCCTGGCGCTCCTCCTGGCTGCAGCTGCGTCCGATCGGAGATACGTTCAGCATCCCGTTCCGGAACTCGATGAACGTACCTCTGAGGAGAAAGGCCAACCGTTAGCTTCCACGGGCTAACCGTTAGCTTCCACGGGCTAACCGTTAGCTTCCACGGGCTAAGCGTTAGCTTCCACGGGCTAAGCGTTAGCTTCCACGGGCTAAGCGTCAGCTTCCATTTCTACACCACTCCATCAGAAACAACCAATCAGAGCCAGAGGAAGGGACTTTGCGTTGTCAATCAGGCTTGTGTATGGTCACCCTTTTTCTCTGCTATTTTGCAGCGTTTTCCCAGCCAGAAGTTAATTCTGTCTGCAGGACCATAGCATGGAATGAACTCCTGAACTACACTACAGCTAGTTTACTACTAGTCTGCCATGAAACAGCTTATAAAACAGTTTTCCTGGAATGGTAAGTTGAAAAATAAGGAAGAAAAAAAAAACAGAAACTGTCGCCAAGCATTAAATTCTCTACATAAATATTTACATAAATGTCTCATCAGAACCGCGTCAGGTCGGTACCTTTTCCTGGGCAGTTGGATCTTGGCCATGTAGTTCAGACAGAAGTTGATGAAATCCTGCAGCAGCTCTTCTCCCATGTGGGCCTGGATAGACTGAGACACAGACGACACAGTTAGCTTCCCCAGTTAGCGCCCCCTGGAGGACATTTTGTGCACCAGGTGACTCACCTGGACGGAGTGCAGCTGTCCATGTCTGTACGCCACCAGGCCGTTCTCGGCGAACACATAGTCTGATTTCTGGATGACTGAGACGGAAAAACAGGACGTCAAACCCAGACCGGTTAAACCTTCACCTCTGTCCTGGCTGAACTCCTCTTCCTCACCGTCTTCTCCCAGCTGCTCCTTGATCTTACTGAGGTCCGAGCCGCCAACCACTCCGACCCGAACCCGAGTCCTCAGCTTCTCCAGGAATGCCTTCATCTCTGGAGTCACACTCTGGAAACACAGACAAACACCAGGGGGCGCTCTAATAACCTGACAGCTAGTAGACCAGGCTATGTTTAATGTAAACATGCAGTGGGTAGGGCTTGGAGGTGGAGGCAGGGTCAGTGTTTAAAGGGGCAGGATTATATGTTTTCCAGGCACATATTGCCATTTTAGAGCACATCCATGTAGCTATATTAAATTCAGTTGTTATAAAAAATTCTATATACATCAAATATGACTTAAGAAATCTAACTTTGTAATTTTTATTCTTTATTTTTTATTTTGTAACCAGGTTGCTCTGTATTGCAGACTTCTGCCCTGGTCCCTCTTGAAAATGAGATCTAGATCTCAGCGGGGTTCACCTGGTTAAATAAAGGAAATAATTTCTGGAGCCGAGTGAGGGAGTCGCAGAGAAGCGCTGCTCTGTGAAGCCGAAGCTTGTTGGCCTGGAAACTGCAGCTCAGAGGAGGAGCTGTGCCTTGAAGGCGGAGCTTGGTTCACCCAGGCGTTTTGCACAGCTAAATGGTTGCCATGGAGATTAAAGGATTTCT